ATTTTCTCTTGTAAATGTTGTCTGGGAGGATGTCCGTCTCCATCGAATCGAGCTATATATAAATCCAGCTATAGACCTATGTCTAGGCAATAGTGACGATCAACCTTTAAAACCTTCAACATCTCTAATGCGTCTATCGAAAAAGTTTTCCGAGAATCTGCAGTAATATGAGAACAAAATGAACTTTAATTCACCGTACACCAGTATACCATTGATTGTATGTAAATTACATAGGAGTAACATTCCATTCTAGATAGGCTTTCGACGTGACCCGATTTTTAACTCAAATGCGATAATGGAACTTTCAGTTTCTCTGTATTTTACATATAACCATCACTCGTCAAACGTTTATCAGTCGTCGATTATTTGAATGTTTTGTAATTTTTCACACAGGATTGATGACGACGACGAGAGAGCTGCGAAAACAGGCATTGTGGAAACACAATCTGAATCTGTTTATTACTCTCATCCAGATTATCCGAAGATGATATTGGTGGATCTACCCCAAAACAGCACGCCATCCCATCTTGACCTATTCCAGTCGTGCGATTTTTTTTTTATTTTAAGTGCAACAAGGTTCAGAAAAGATGACTCTGACACAGCGAAGAATATCAAGTTATTGGGAAAATCTTTCTTTTTGGTGCGTACGAAAGTGGACTTGGATGAGGAGAACGAAACGAAAAGAAAAACACGTGATATGGAAGACGTGATAAAAGAAATTCGGGATGATTGTCGTGAAAATTTAAAGAAGGACGGCATTAGCATTAATGAAGACGAGATCTTTCTTGTAAGCAACCACGACAGAGAAAAGTGGGATTTCAGACTCCTGATAGACGTCATCATGAGAAGGTTGCCTACTCTTCAGAAAGAGAAATTAACGTTTTCAGTGAAGATCAAATCGAAGAAAATCGTCAGCATGAAAGTTAAGAATTGGCGAGGTGAGTTAGCATTAAGATGAATTGTCCAAGGTATCAGTAATCATTTTTCGGAATTACTTTAATTCTATATGCGCTAGCTAAAACTATCAGCTGGTTAAGGATAATTCTTTAGTGTCACTTTCTTAGGGCAGACTGTGCATAGAAATCTGACTAATTTCCTGATCATGTAGTATAAATTGAGTTTTGGATTAGATACTAAACATGCAATTTGACCTGCTGCATTAATCTGCGCAACTGTATTTTCGGTTGAAACAACGTTTTTACGAGTCGGTTAAGCCTGGTCATTGTTAAGGAAATATACATAATTAACGCTGTTTTACAAAGGTCTGAGCTGTTGACAACCAAAACTGCAAAAAACATCACAATGTTTGTGCTTTTGATCATTTTCTTTTGGTCACCTACTTTTGCACGAGAGAGGAAAATCAGTTAGTGAACCAAAACCTTCTACATTATAGTTTATTTTTTCGGATAGTTACCTTTAAACTACGCCATAAATACGCGCAACAAAACATGAATTCTACTCTGTATTAACACGGTGTCGTCAGTAATTGAACATTATACATTTTTTATCGAACACTCTTTTCACAAATATTTTTTTACAGTAAAATTTCGGTTCCATGATTTCACTAGAACATGAGAACAAACATCGCTCAAGCACGCAAAAAAAATATCAAAAAGTTTTGTTTTCTTGTGCTAATTTTGTCATATTACATTAAACAATTCAACTTTGAACTTGCAGGTTGGCTATGCATAATCAAGTTCCTTCCCGCTATTATCTTATTTCCGTTTGATCTTATTACGTTCGGTTGCATTTCGGAGTTGTTAAGCACGATACTACTCAATCCGATAATCGGATTCTACAGATCTAGACTCGGGCTTCCAGAGGAAAATTCCGAAGAATATAAGAAAATGAAACAAGAATTTAAAGAAAGAATGACCGAATTTTATACAAAGAAGAAAAAGCCTTGTCAAAAAATATCCAGTTGTTGTTGTTGTTGTTGTTTCTGCTGTGCATGGTGTAGAACCGGTGATGTTCTGGACGAAATCTTAACGGAAATCGAAAATTTTTCAAACGAAATACTGGATGAAGCTGCCATCGGAGATGAGGAAATAAGTGAAGAAGAAGGTCGTGTGGAACGTACTGATGAAATAGTATAAAACTTATTACCTGCAAGTTATTTAGTAAAATAGGCCATGGAAACTGTTAAAATGTGTAGGAGAAATATGAAAGTTCTCAAACAAAAAATTAATGCTTGAAAATAATTCAGATCATCGCTCATATTTAGAACTCAAACGAATTTATTTACTGCAGAATGCAGCACGAGTATACTCCAGAATGAGTATACTCCAGAATAAACAGCACAGTTTTTTGTAATTAACTACATATAGAGCAACTGCACGCAGGAGTGGATTTAGCCTAGATCTCACGTGATTCAATCACCAGGGATGGTCATTGTCGGTGATCACTGACTAATATAGTGCTTTATTATTATGGGATATGCATGCTTTATTTATAGCATTCATATCAAATTTTGCATGTTAATTGTTTTACCTAATCAATATACTGTAAGTATTTGCTGCAAAGTTAAGGCGAACATCGATACAAATTTTTTAACAATAAGTTGTTTGGATGTCATTAAATTGTTCTTATGCTTTTGAAATTAGATATACTTGAATTTACGGCATATTATTATTAGACATTCTTTGACCGAAAAGCAAGAGATATTTATCATTATCAGTATAAATCTACTAAAGACAGATGCAGTAGGTCTCTTAAACCTGTCCATTAGGATTTTTTGTGATAATCACTGATTAATGATTTCGCGCGATATTCTTTACACACAAAATAACACAGTGTAACACACGGCCGGGCCAGTAGTATTTAAAACATTAAATATATCCTGGCTAAAATTTTATTCTGGCGCGAGATGAAATAAACAGCTAAAGCGACCTCAACCCGCTGACGTTCCGCTCGGTTATTTGATCTGATCAAAGAGATATAGCGACCTCATAACCCTCATAACCTCATAACCCCATAATCAGGCGACAACTATTACAGTAACTCACGGGTGAATATTGATATAGTCTGTTTTGTACACGACGGATTTCTTCTGAAAACACTTATATGCGCAAAATATTTGCATAAGAATGAGACGGCAAAATTAATAGTTCCAGTGAAATCCTGATGATGAAAGTTAAAGCAGGAGCGCGGAGTACTTTAAGAACCATTGACTGCTATCTACTAGGAAAGAATCCAGACGGTAAAATTAGTAAAATTATATAAAAGTTTTTAAAATATAAAAGTTACTTAATTAAAATTTGTACAATTATATAAAAGTCTTATAAGTGTAAATATTTCCCAATCGAGCAGGGTACTGGGTCAAGTTGCCAACCGCAAAGCATCTATACTATAGACTGTTTGTAGGGAAAGGAAATAAAAGTCTGAAATCATTTGTCCATAGATGCTTTCGGATCGCGACTAGACCCAGTACCCTGCTCGATTGGGAAATGGCTAATTAAATAAGCCAATTATAAGGCTACCTTTGATATTATTTGACATGAATGCATCTCAAATTTTTGCATATTGATCTAGCAAATTTGTAGCCGACGCTTTTATTCGCGGTTTTGCTGTTGACAACCACGTCAACTGACATTGCCCCTTCTCGTTATGGCCGCGTCTGGATCAAAATAATTTATGCGGAGAAAATATGGAAGAGGAGGCGAAAGAATTTGACTGTATTCTTAAAGAGGAAGGGGTCATAGTAGCACAAGCTTTAATGAGAGAAAAGTTGAAGAATTGGCAAGAAGCGGAAGTCAAAATTGGCGTCACTGGATCACCAGGAGCAGGGAAATCAAGCTTTATTAACGCTTTTAGAGGGTGAGGATAAGCACTTTTCTATTGACTAGTTTGTTCTAATACGAAGTTAATTTCGATTTGTTTATTCAGCTTTGTTAATAAGCTGTGCACGATATCACCGTTTATTGTGAATAATATCATGCATAATTTAAAATACTTTTAATTATAGTGATTTTAATAATCAATAATAGTGATTTTATTACCCACGGTAATATGTATTTATATAACTTGTTTGTTAACCGACATCATAGACAATCCAGAAGATGTCTTCTGGATTCAGTGGATTGTCTATATATGCTGACATATCAAGGTTATTTACAGTATATCAAAATTCTGCTGCTTATTAAATGCTATAGTTTAATTACAATAAAACAATAAGATAACTCAGTCTCGTTGGCTATGAGCGAATAGTAAACTCGGCCTCGTTGTAATAATACATTCGACGAATCGTCCTTGTATATTTTTAAGTCCAACTATATCTGAGTCCAACCTCCGACCGGAGTAATAACCCAACGACCGACAAGTGTTGCCACATTACGCGAAAAAACCCTGGGAACGAGGTTGCGCATTCACTTCAAGTTCAAATTTTTAACAGCGACATTCTTGGCGGTTCTACGAGGAGATTGCAATTTTATTTGATAAAAGCCTTAAAAGGATAATCTTTGTCACTCTCCTAATACGATTCGAAATGAAATAGGTGCTGGTTCACTGAATTGAGTCAAATAAGACAAGCATCTTAAAGAAAGAATATATTATTTAAAGAAAAAAGTGTGCATGCTAAAACATCCCGAGAAGGATCGCATGGTTTTGTTTGGATCCACTTCACTCACAGATCCACTTCACTTACGAAACAAACAAAATTATCAGACTTTTAGCCTTTTGTCGAACTATTTTAAACCAATCTTTGTTCATTTCCCAACGGAATGACGAGTATATAAATTATGTGCATGTCATTTGCAAGACGAAAAGCAAAATGTGTTAACAATGGTGTAAAAATTGTAAAATATATATATTCTGCGTCAAGAGACGTTAAATACGGATTCAATTATTTTCATACACACTGTATAGCAGATATTGTTTCACATCATTTTGAGACTCTAACAGAGAAGTATAGCTATATACAAGCTCATTATCCGTTTTTCCAGGAATTGATTTGCATAAGAATTATAGCCTCTTATTTGTTTTCAATTTCACCACGGTGAACATTCAAAGGTTGTTGCGAATTCTTACGAAACGAAAGCAGTCTTGTAAGTGTACAGTTTTAAGTTAAATGGGAAGTTTTCTGTCCAAAAAACAGGAAGCAGAAGCCAGAGATGGCAATCATGTCAAGTTTGCTTTAGTTGGAGCAACTGGATGCGGGAAATCTGCCTTCGTCAACGCCATAAGAGGGTAAACTATTTATTCTTCAAACTTATATTTAAAAAACTTAGTAGCTACCTCATTATTAGGGAGCTTTAGCGGTGACTACGAGTCTACAAGTACGAGATTCGTCATTCTCGCGCGCTGTTTGCTTACGCCATCAGCCAAAACTCGTAGTCGTTGGGCTTTTGAGTACGAGTTTTTTGATAAATTTCGTACTCAAAAGCCCAACGACTATATGAGTTTTGGCTGATGGCGTAAGCAAACCACGCGCGAGAATGACGAATCTCGTACTCGTAGTCACTGTCAAAGCTCCCTATTGTTTGTCCGACAACGTTGTTTGTACCCGAGCTAACCGTGTCGTAGTTTGGCAGAGATAGAAGTTTTGCGTGGATGTTTGACATAATACCACATTTTTACCAATTTATTATTAAGCACCGGTTGTTCAAAAGCCGTTTAACGCTTCACCTAGACGGCGGATAATAAAATTATCCATTTTCTCAAGTAAGATAACTAGAAACATTTCGATGCTGAAATATTTCGAAGTAAATAGCTCATTTTCAATGGAAGTGCATATTTAATGTAAGACATATTAAGGTGTATAGGTTTCGTAACTCACAAGATGTATGAAGGTTTTTTAAACATTGGCTTATCTACTCTTTAAGTTAGACGACATTTTATATCAACTGGCCCTACCGTAATTAATTTTATTGTATTGGTGTTCATACATACATGCAGCGTTGCCATTTCGCAAGTATAAATTAATTATTGATCAAAACAAGTACACAAAGTGGGCATGCATGGCTCTCACCCTAACGAACTATAGCAGAATGTAGAATCATCACAGTTGTTATAAATTTTCTGTACTGAAGATAACAACTGTGATAATTCTACTGATGTACTGTATATATACATTCGTATTGCTGAGTTTTATTTCTATTTGTCATTATCTCGATTGCCTTGCTGTTTGCTGAAATCTTTACTTGCAGCTTTTCGACTTCGCAGTTACAAAACAAAGATAGCTAAATTATATACTCACGTCTGCATGCCGAATAACGAGGTTTTAAAAACAAGGCTAACTCTTTATGATCTCTGGAGTTTCTAAATTGTTGGTGTCAGGCATGCATGCATAATAACGTACTATTTGTGAGTGGGGGCGAAAAAGAACTTATCTGACTGATATCCTGCTGTTTCACCAACAGCAAGTTTCTAATTAACGATCTATTTTAAAGTTAAAGCTATGCAATACGTGCACAAGGTCGGCAAACATTTTTGAGCAAGAATATCTAGTTTTAGTTGTACTAAATGACAGCAAACAGCATCCTTTTCAGAATATTCACTAAGTCTTTATTAATTAAAAAAGTGTTCTATAGGCTCCGTCATTTTTGTTGAATACGAACGTTAGTTTGTGCTGATACTAACGTCGCAGTTTCCCATGCAGATTCATAAGACTTTTTATAAGTTTTATGATTAGGTAAATAATTTCATGCGTCAGTGTTTGGCGTCTTTCTGATGTAGGTCGCGACTTGTGCAGCACGCAACCCCGAGTATAGGGTGCAGCATTGTCTTTTCGCAAGTATGAATTAATCGATCAAAACATATACAGAAGTACAAAATATGTTGGCTATCACTCAACATATAAAATATGGAATCACCAGTTTCTGTCATCTGGACAGAAAATGCATAACCATTAAAATTTTAAAAAAATCTAAAAACGTTAATTTATGTATAGCATGGGTCGTATAAATTATAGCATTTATTTAGTTTTGAAAATCAGTTGGTAGCATCAATGTGAGTAAAGAAATTAAACGAAAGTAATTGCTACTCCTTACTCATATTCAGCTAGTCATGGTTACAATTATACATGTATAAGTATATTATACCGTACCTGCTCTTGATGGAGGGTTGTGAGTATATCTAATGGTTTGGCTGTCTCAGATCAGTGGACAATCATAAGAAATATTCACTCAACCAATTTTTTACTTTACTTTAATAACGAGAAATATATGTTTTATTACTAGTTTTTAGCTTTGATTATTTATTCCTCGTAGTATTGGCGATGTCGATAAAGATTCAGCAGGAGTTGGTGGTTCATCAGCATGCAAAGAACCTAAAGAATACACCTACCCAACAAATCCTCTTGTAAGCTTCTGGGATCTACCTGGTTATGGCACAAGTATTGAGATGTATTGGAGAAAATTAGGATTGGAAAAATTCGACAGATTTCTGATTTTCATTTCACCCACAGTCACTGAATTTGATCGAGAATTAATACAGAAACTCAAATCCAACACCAAGCCTTTCTTCGTTATTCGCACCAAAATTGATAGCGAATTTAAAAGTCATTTCCAGGAAGAAGAATTCTTACACGAAAAGCGGGATTATCTACTTAGAGAATTAAATCGGTCACTTACTGAAAAAGACATATTTCTTATCAACAACTACGATCCACGCAAATGGGATTTCATGCGACTTATAGAAGCTGTGAGCGACGTGTCACCTGAACCTGAAATAGGTATATCATAATAGGTTCTTCTTTTTAAGATTGAATTTTTGCTACAGGCTTGCAATTAACTCGTATAACTTCCATAACAAGAAATTCGGGACATTAATTACCATGAAAGTTAATTCGTAATGCCAGGATTTCGGAATCTATACCTTGTTATTATAGAATTATATAAGGCACGAGACAAAATTTGAAATCAACGCAACTTCTGTCTTACATATTGCAGTTGCGCAGCTTGATTAAGACGGCAGAGACTCAGTACTGTTATGACAATTTTTTTATATTGTTATAATTATTGCTTTTAACAGGTTCCCCAGTAATGTCATTTCAGCAACTAATCATTATATTACAAGTATATGAAAATTTGAAAATTTATCAAAATGGATGAACACATACTTTTCATGGGGGCAAAACACGTGATAAAAATGGATCAATGGAAAACAAAAAATTAAAAAAAAATTGGAATCATTACGTTTCCAAAAAGACGCCTGATTGGGGACTAAGAATAGCCCGCAATGAGGGAAGCCTGATTAGCAACGAAAATATAATTATCACAACCAGCTTTGATCACAGTTAATAGTATATACATGGTTTGGAGACCTATAAAAGAACTCATTAAGTATGTTATTGTCCAAGCGTATGCAAAAAATGGTTTCTTTCTCGTCACGTGTCTATTGTATTTTGGCCAAATTTACCAATGGCATTCGTCTTGCTAAGCTCATCAACCTTGACTTGAAAAATATGTTAATTAAAAGATTGCTATTGGTTTGTCTGTGCAAAATACAATAGACATGTGATGAGAAAGGAAGAATTTTTTGCATAAATGTACCTCAACATAGTTAATGAGTTGTATTGTAGTTTTATTTGGTCTTCAAACCATGTATACTCTATTAACTGTGCTTTGATATAAACAAAGAAATGGTAGTCATATTACTATGGGTGAAGTAGCTTAAATGAAAGAGAGTCTCTCATTTATGCCAGAGGGATGAAGAGTGCCAAGTTTGTGGATGAGTCGCATTTCTTGTCGTTTACGGCTATCGTTAGTACCGGAAATTGGACAGAGGGCTCTAATTTTCAGTAAAACAATGATCAGTTACCAGAAGTAAAGTGTCTGGCAACAGGCTTGTTGTTATCGTGGTTGTTGCCAGACACTTTACTCTGGCACATTTGATGCTAAGTGAGTGGTGATATTCATTGACAGTTCTTTCAGTCATTCTTATATCACTCGGCTTGCATGTTATTGCTGTAATGTTAAAGCTGTAGACAAGCTCTGTTATTTCTTATACCACTATACCACTTTCACTTTCTTATATCGCTATTGTGCATGATTTTGTCTAGCGACTTTAACAGATCAATATATGGGTGACACAAGAAAATACGTTAAAGAAAATGGTGTTTCAAATATTGAAGAATTCCTCAAGACAAAGCTGGAAAGATCAAAAGAAGTGAAAATACGATTTGGAATAACCGGAGATAGTGGTACTGGAAAATCCGCATTCATTAACGCCATTAGAGGGTAATTTTTTTTTTCAATCATGTATAGGCCAGTTGTATAACCCTACTAGAAATATATGAATGCAGCAACTCCTCGCTATAAAACCAAGTATATAATTTCCTGAGGTAACCTGACCTAAACTTATATTATGAAATGACACAAAACTCAAATTAGTCTATATTATATTTTACTGAGTGTATTATAGCTCATGTGTCCATCAAATTCCCCTTTTAAAAACACTTTTTAAAGTTAAAGCAAAGGTGTAGCCTTTCACAGTTGGTTTATGCGTTTGCATAAAAAGCTGAAATTTATATAAAGCTAAAAATAACGGCATATAAAGCCTCTGAAAATTATACAAATATACAGCTCATGTTTACCGTGAAACAAATACGAAATAAACAAAGTAAACACGTACCCTTTGCATTTGAAGACATTAATTTATAAGCTTGCATGCAGATTATGAATTATTTCTCTTACACCGCTTTGTCTTGAATGTATCCATTTTCTTGTTTGCTATCTGCCATGTTTCATCTTGTTTCTTCTCGTTTTATTCTGTACAAGTTTATGAAACACTTTTACAAAAGAGTTTACGAAATGACAGTCAGTAAATTGCTGCCGCAGCCAATCAGAACGTTGTTGATCAACTTTGGATTCCGCTATGTTCTCCCGGGTTCCGGGTGTAACTCCTAATCTCTGAGCGAAATTAGTACCCTCGCAGGCGCTCCGCGCCTCGCTCGGGGATTAATTACATTTCGGGTTTAAACCATATAGATATATCTAAATATGTATTTGCGTGGCGTTTTGCGTGTTTTTGCGAGACCACAAAACTTTTATTTACATATTTATTTGATAAGTAGAGGTAATTGGTAAGTAAAGGTTTCATTCATTCATTCATTCATTCATTCATTCATTCATTCATTCATTCATTCATTCATTCATTCATTCATTCATTCATTCATTCATTCATTCATTCATTCATTCATTCATTCATCATTCATTCATTCATTCATTCATTCATTCATTCATTCATTCATTCATTCATTCATTCATTCATTCATTCATTCATTCATTCATTCATTCATTCATTCATTCATTCATTCATTCATTCATTCATTCATTCATTCATTCATTCATTCATTCATTCATTCATTCATTCATTCATTCATTCATTCATTCATTCATTCATCATTCATTCATCATTCATTCATTCATTCATTCATTCATTCATTCATTCATTCATTCATTCATTCATTCATTCATTCATTCATTCATTCACTCATTCACTCATTCACTCATTCATTCATTCATTCATTCATTCATTCATTCATTCATTCATTCATTCATTCATTCATTCATTCATTCATTCATTCATTCATTCATTCATTCATTCATTCATTCATTCATTCATTCATTCATTCATTCATTCATTCATTCATTCATTCATTCATTCATTTATTCATTCATTCATTCATTCATTCATTCATTCATTCATTCATTCATTCGTGTGCGCCTGACTAAGGGGATATTCTATAAAGGCGATTCTCCATTACCGTCCGCTTCACCCGCGCGGGCGAAGTGCGCTTTGTTTTTCAGGCCTGTCACGGTCGCATGGGCGGATCTTCAAAGGCCGCTTCGCCCGCGCGGGTGAAGCGGACGGTAATGGAGAATATACAATGGTAATTGCACTGAGTGGAGTGCAATTTGGTGTGAAATCAAACGCGTCATTACAAAATCGCACGACCGCGAAGCGGGAGTGTGATTTGTAATCACAAGTTTGATTTCACACCTAAATTGCATGCACGGCAGGAAGTGCAATTTCCACTTTAATATAATCATTTTGAAATCATACAAAAGAGTAAACAAATTCAAAACGATTTATTGGCTAAAAGAACCGAAAACGATGTAAAATGTGAGTAATTTTCATCCATTTTTCAAGAAATTTTGCGGGGCATTTAAAAATACAAAATAATAAAATTTTGTGCCATTTTCCCTTGTAATTTGATTGGATAGTTACACTGAAATACTAAATCTGATTGGTTATTGTGGTGCAGAGCTTCAATCTATAGTGCGACTTAGGAATTAATCACACTTTTTTTAAGCAATTAGATGGCAAGAAACACCATTGATTTCAAAATGAATATAATAAAATGGAGAATAGCCTTTAAAACCGGTTTTCCGCTAGCGATATTTTCGCGCGAAGCGAATTCATTATTCGTTTGTATTTGAGCAATTTGTTCCAGATAGTTGCAGTTGAAAGCTTTGAAACAAATGTAAAATGTCGCTTCGCGCGAAAATTAACGCTAGTGGAAAACCGGCTTTAAAGTCCTTTCGATGTCCTTAAATACACTAGGCCTAACATTTGTATAATATTACACAACTAATAAAACCTGACATAGGGTAATTATGTATTTAATTTCTCAATCCAAAACTTCGTCTTTTAGTGGGCTTATTAACATCAGCGACAGCACCAATTTGCACCAAAAATCCATTAAAATGTCGAATGCCCTGCTTTGAAAAAATGTTCATATAAGTGTTTTTCACAAATGCCTCTTTGTCCATTAGGAAATCTATTGATCGAACCCTTTGATCTGGTTACGTGAAAAACATGTAGCAAACAATATGTGGAAAATACAGTGAGATCATTTAGGTTGAGATTTAATAATCCGAGTCGATTTGCAAAACTAACTGTAATGCACGACTTTTTTATGTTTAGGCTTAAAGACGACGAAAACGAAAAGGGTGCCGCAGAAGTGGGTGTCACTGAAACAACGATTGTGCCAGCGGAATATAAACACCCCGAAAACGAAAAAATTATCTTCGTGGACATGCCTGGGATTGGAACACCAAAATATTCCAATTTTGAAGACTATTGCGAAAAAGTTTGCTTAGAAAAGTACGATAGCTTTCTAATTTTTACTGCATCTCGTTTTACAGATGATGATTTGTTTCTGGCAGAGAAAATCAAATCAATGCGCAAATCCTTTTTTCTTATCCGCACGAAAATCGATAATGACCTCGCCCCAAAGTACGAAGGACAACAAGTCAACGAAGAACAAATCTTAAATTCGATTAGAGCATATTGCTTTAATCATGTGAAAGATTTGATATCTGGCGAAGAGGATATCTTTCTGATTAGTAACTACCATAAAGAAAAATGGGATTTCGATCGTCTTATTGTTGCTATCAGTGACGCATTGTCTACTATTCAGCGAGAGTGTTTAACGTTGTCTTTAACCAATGTTACTCGGGATTGCTTAAAAAGAAAGGCAAAACTTTTCAAAGGTAGGCGGCCGCACTATGGTCTTTGCTATATATATTCGATTATTCTATTATAGATGTAGTTATGTTGTTAAATTTAAGATAATTACCATTTACCTCTCTCTTATTTCACTTTTATTCTCGCAAATTTAGTATAATGTTGTCAACAAGTCTCAGTTTATAGAATAGTGCACATGTAGGGCAGTACTAGAATATACATACATGCAAAATCCCCTCGCCTAAAGCAATTAACATATTATATCCAACAGTGAAATGTTATAGTACTCGTTTCAATACAAAAATAATCATAAAGCTAGTGTAAAGAACAATAAGGCTAGTGCATGTAAACATTGGCCGTTCAATTTTGCATTTTTGTAGCTGCATTATACCATGACAGCAATTAAGTAATGGTTTAAAGTTAAAGTTTCAAAGAAAAAGTTTAAAACAGTACAAAATCTTCAGAGACAAAGAAAAAACCTCAAATGTTATTTTATTTTGTGATTGCAGTCGACGGCTAAAAGACTTATATTTAAGTGTGTTACAGTGATTAGTGAGTGATATCAAAATTCAATTACACTTTCAAAAACACTTTTTGAAGTTAAAGCAAAGGTGTAGCCTTTCACACTTCACAGTTGGTTTATGCGTTTGCATAAAAAGCTGAAAATTATAAAAAGGCCAAAGCTGGAGATAAAACAAATAATCGGCATACAAAGCTGAAAATTATACAAATAAGCTGCATCCTTATGATTTAATTAAAGTAAAAAAAACACGAAATAAAGTAAACACGTACACTTTAAAAACACTTATAAGCTTGCAAATTATAAATGATTTCTCTTCCACCGCTTTGTCTTGACTGTATCCATGTTCTTCTTTGCAATCTGCCAGGCTTAATCTTGTTTCTTCTCGTCTTATTTTGCACAAAGTTTATGAAAACTCTTACAAAAGAGTTTTTGAAATGACAGTTAAATTGCTGACGTTCTCGTTGAATTTTCGGTCTTAGCCAATCAGAACGTTGTTGATTACCAGTGGTTACTCGCGCATGTGCATAACTTATGAAACCACCCAACGTCGACCGTCGATGACATAGATTTCGACAACATTGGTTTCCGCTATGTTCTCCCGGGTTCCCGATGTAATTCCAATCTCCAAGCGGAATTATAGTACCCTCGCAGGGACTAAACTTTTTAGCGTAATTTCAGTTTCTTTTTACACTCAAACCGGATGTTCGTTTCCGCGGAATATTGCAACATTGCTATCAATCAAAAAATTTTCATTGGCTAGTTCATGCTAACAACTACCAATCAGTTGAGCCAAATTGCAACTTGTAATTTTCAATATTCCGCGGAAATTTTAAATTCCCTCATTTGTAAATAGCAAATGCAAACTGCTAAAATGACGACTCACATAGGAAATAAGACTTCCTTACCAACCCGAGAACGCATTATTGCTTTATGGGCAGAAGGTGAAAGCAATAACAATATCGCTACCGTTTTGGAATAACTAGGCATGCTGCTACATACTAGAACACACTATTTTTGCGAGGCATTTTTCGCAACAGTGAAATAATTCTTTTGTGAACAAACAACGTTTAGACGTACCTTGACTATTGATGTGTGGCGTAGGCTAGGTCATATTTGCCGATAAAAAGAGAAAAATAACAAAATGTTACATAAACCAACAAAGGTGAAAATTTGAAAAAATCTCAGTAAAAAACATAAGGAAATCAATGATACTGATGTAAATATTCGCCATCCGTGACATCAGATTTTTCAACAAGGTTTCAGCCATTTTAAAAACATCAAAAACGGGTTTCGACCAATCAAAATGTCCCTAAGCACCCCACGTGACTATACTTTCCTATCCAGTGATTTATTATCCATGATTTAGCCAATCGCACGTTTGAAAACATTTGCTAGCTACCAGTTTCAACTCGTTTTAAACTCGCGCATGCGCATAACTTACAAAAACGCCCAACGTCCATGACATAAGGCGGACAACTGCAATGTCGTATTTGCATTCCCGGGCGTAATTAAAATCTCCGGGCGGAATTAGAACCATCGTCAGGCGCTTCGCACCGGCTCGGAGATTATCATAAGAGACAAAATTAGACATCTTTAGATCAAATCTATTGTAAACTAACGCAAGTAGACCGGTATCTTCAACTGAATCATACCCTATATCAAATATCGTCCCTTATTAATTTAGTCATAAAAACTATTGAAGTCTCTCTTTGTAGGTAATAAAGATATTAGATTCACTGATAGTATACATATTTGTGTACGCTGCACCACCTTGTACAATTCAAGTACAAAATTTTCTCTTTAAAAGTACAATTTATATATAAATCAAATAAGAAATTAAAATAAATTTAATAAAAAATTAAATGAATTAAAAAATTAATAACAATGGATAAATTAGTGTTCACTTAAAATTCATTTCAAACTTTGTGTATGTAGCCCAAGCTGTTGCTGTGGCTGTCGTGTCTGCTGGGTCTGGTGCAGTTCCTGTTCCTGGATTAGGATGTGTCCTTGACCTTATACTTATTGGAGGTACCATCAGAAATTACTACAGAGCATTTGGGCTCGGTAACACAACTCCTGAGGAGCTTGAATTGTTGAACAAACATTACAGAGACATTATCAAAAGGTATGGGTTAACTTCTGTTTTGGCGATATTTAAATCTGCGGGAACCAAGACAGCCCTGGTACTATTAAGTGTTGAAGAAGTTTCGAAGTTTATTCCAATTCTTGGATTGGTGATTGCGGGGAGTGCATCATTTGCTACATCGTTGTACTTCCTTAATCGCTCTGTAAACGAAATGGAGGAGGTGGCATTGGCTGTCTGGGATAACGCAGCCGAACGAGCTGTTAACAGCGCATCCCGAAGTTCTCCATAGATCATAGATACGAGCAATATCAGTGTAGAGAAAACGTGTTTTGCGCACAACATCCTAATATACCATTGAATATATCCATGCATAATTATATTTTTGCACTTGTTGAAATTAGTTTGCAAAAGAGCAAATGGTATTATCTAATACACTGTATTTAGCAGCAATATTACGCTGCCGGTCAATTAGAACTGTCTCAGCACATTAATTAAAAAGCCTGCTGTACACGAGGGAACACAGTAAGGCCTATAATAAACTAGGAAATGTTGTGAAAAAAATCTTGTTGCGTGATGTTTCCACAAAATTTTTCGCAGAACATTCCCCAGTGTCTCCAAAGACAAAAATTAATTTTCATACTTATGTTATTGAAGCTAACTATATAAATATCCTATAGTTGCAAACGTTGATGCCTGGCTAAACAGGGTAGACATTTTCATGAAAGCTTAACGTTGTAAAATCCTTACGCACTTTGCACACTAAACTGATTATCACACGTGGCTGTTTGCTTACTGTTTCCTCTTCTTCAAGCTAAGGTTTATTTAGAGGTTATAGAGACATTTGCGACGCACGGGATATAACTGAATGTCAAAAATTTAGCATATATATTTAACAATACATTATATGCTATGCCGAAGGCAACTAATTGTTTTAGTATTAATTTCGAGGTGTTTAAAAATAATAATCAACACAATTTGATAAAAAATTCTAATTAATTCAAATTTCTTATTTGAAAAAACCAACAAAAAGCTATAGTCACCGCGACTAGTGACTATCACTTCAGAGACAATGAGTTTTGAACAATCAGAATGCAGGAAAACCAATAATCACCTCGAAATTTATACTAGTATCATATACCATGTATTAATTATGTAACCAACAGTAATAATTTCTGATATAAAAAAATCGGAGAGTTGAGTTATACTGAAATATAGAATTGTAAAAACATGATGCAATAATTTCGGTTGTTCTATACGAAAAGCTAACATCTTGAAGGTCAGATAGCAACGGAAGACAGGTAACTTAGCTATTATTCACTATCCCTTTTAAAATAACTGCATTTTTGATAGTTAGGGTCTAAATAAAGATATACCCAAAACCGCTGGTAACCAGGTCACGTGAAGTGGCGGGAGAGCTAGGACAGGAACAACTCGTAAAATAGGAATTTATACTTGAAAACACATTTTACACGTCACCTGAGTATAATAAACACATTTACACGTCACATAAATGTCAAAGTTAACGCCCCGAATGCCTGGTTTAACGGACCAAAACTCCGAAAGCCTGACAGTATTAAAAGGAGATATTTTTCTATGTCGCGTAATAATTAAGTGCTCAAAACGTCACTTGCATGCAAAAGTACTAAAATGTTTAACGCTAAAAACGTTTTGAAAACTCAAAGAGTACTAAAAAAGTATGTTTACTACATAATCAAAAAATAATGTTAAAATGAAGAGATTTTTTGAGATACGCCGAGACGAAAATGACACTTGAGTCGAAGCTACTTTTGTACTCATTTTGGGTGATAATGGCGTTAACATTTATAGCATTGTTGATAGCCGCACTATATTTTGAAAAACTTTCTCGCTTGGTGTTTTGCAAGCACCAAATACTGTTCAAAACTTAGTTCACAACATACTATGAAGAATAAAGCAAAAATAAATGAATTTTAAGTGGTACGCCAAAATATGTCCTGCCAAAATACGTGACATATTACTTACTTAAATACTTACGTAGTGTACCTACAAGCTAACTTTACTTACTTGATGATGTGACCATGCAAAATTACAAGAATATATGTATGTTATTTACCGGATTGAAGGTCCGTATAGGGAAATATTTCCCGAAGTCTCAAACGGATTGACCAAACGGCAAACCGGTAAATATATTTTTTTCAAAGCATAAGAATTGGATTGAATTCGAGAGGTTACGCGTAATGCACTTTGGAGTATCAACAAACACGTAACTTTGCGTTCAGTACGAAGTTTAATTAAGAGAAATGAGTGATGTTATGAAAGCTGTGCTGAATAAGTCTATAAATTTATGAGTAGACTAGCTAAATTACAGTCCAAAAAACTTACATCAAAAGCAAAAGATAGGAATTTTATCAGCTTAGCCTGAGTTGAATGACAAGCAGCTGTGGGAAGTCTGCCTTTGTCAATGCTGTGAGAGGGTAAGCAATATCTTTCTTCTTTCTTATAGAGAAAACCAGATATCATTCTAACGAATGTAAATTACTCGGAGTAAGGAGGGTCTTGTAAACCTACCAACTTTGTCAGATAAAAGGACTTGTCCACAATTTGGAAGGGAGTAGCAAGGTTATTATTTTCATGGAGACGCTCAGACAACAATAGTTCGAAAAACTTTTATCATATAATCAAGCAAACAACAACAACATTATTCTGAATGGCTTGTTAAAAAACAAGAACTAAAGATAACTTTATTGCACAATGTAATATTCTTTCTGTATCGATCTTCTATTCTAAATCTTGTATTTCTTAACCCTTCTACAATACTCGCTTATTCTATCTACTTCCTTAATTAGTCCTGTCAACATGATGGCAATCATCTCTATTTTAGTATTATAATTAGTTATTAATATATATATATATATATATATATATATATATATATATATATATATATATATATATGTATATATATATATATATAATAATAACACAATAAAGGCCCAGGACTACTTTACTAGGGTTAGGAATAAAACGAACGAAAAAGGAAAACCACTAAGCTTCCAGCGGTATTATGGCTTTAAACTTGCAGTAAAGACTTTACTCTATATTTAGGCTGGTTTACACGATTCGATTAGTCGTATATGATTCGTATACTGCGTATATATTCGAATAATGCGTGTAACGATGTCACATTTTAAAATTTGTTATAACTGATGAACAGAAAGAGTGGCGTCAGCAATCTTTTCCATACGTCGGGATTAAAATCGTAATGCGAATACGACTAATCGCATTGCGTATATTGGCCTTTTTTGTAATCTGATATAAACTCAGACAGGTTTTCCCCAGGAAATGATTGGTTAATTAGCTACTGCCGCCTTTACAATACCATCGTTTAAAGCGCTTTCCAACAATTGCCCTAAATTTTCCAATTGAAAGCTATACAGCATTCCAGTTTTATTCCTTCCAGTGATTTGCACCAATACATAATCAGCGATGGGCAAAACTAATTCAAAACTTGAGTTAAAGATTGAGGTTAAGAAACCGACAGATGAGTTAACGATTGGTGTCTTTGGACGATGTGGCGTTGGAAAGTCAAGTTTTATCAATGCATTCGGGGGTATAAATATGCTTTGAATTAAGTCACCTTTGATATATACATATGGAAATTAGGTAGTTACTCAATTTCGTCCCCCCATAATTTCCCCTTGATTCCAGAAGGATTCCAGGCAAAAGTAATCATTTATATTTGATACTGAGTCATAGGAATTTGAACATTGGGCAAACCGCAAATTAATGGAAGTTTTAACGTCTCATCATTTTGGGAATCACAAACATTTAGCGGCTGAACGAAGATACGAATCTACTGCGATTATTTTTTCATTTTAGACAATAGGAAGTTTGGCGTAGACAGTGGCAACATGCTAATTTGTCAACAATATAGCGATGCTTTTCATGCAGAGACATAGGCGAATGTAAATTTCATACATAGATTGATATAATATTCTTGTTATTTTGGATGGCGGACTCAATATTTGTTTGTAGGTACACAACGTATATTGATCTTTAATTGTTTATCACGGCAAAGATTTCGGTTCTGTCATCAATAACCTAGAACCACACAAATGGGATTTTCCACGCCTATTCGATGAAATCTTGGAAATGTTACTGGCTTATCAAAAGGAAGCTCTGTCACCCTTATTGTTCCAGAGATCATTGCAAGGTATTATGAAAGAAAAAAAAAAGTTTTAAAATTATTACATGCATCTAGTTATTACATATGAATATTTTCCTTAGTTATGTGATAACTGCCTTTTACTGATGGCCGTATTCACTTATTAGTGCTTAACTGATTTAGGATGACTTTGTTTGGAATGAAACAAAATTCTGCACAAGACAAAGAGACATTAAAATTCCTTAAACTGCATGTGCTTTTAATCTCGCTTTCGTTTTTCCCTTTTTAGCTAGTGTATTCTGAATAACTGAGGAGAATAAGTAGCTTAGTCCCGAGTTTGGAAACAGACCGTCGACCCTCAAAATGCAATCTACAAACCAAAAATTCCTGGATGTTTTCTTACACCTAAATGTTTTTTAGAAAGAAAAAAATAGAGGAACATCTTTATGGTGAGGGAACACATAGTAAAGAAAAAAGGGATTCAAGCAACAAAGAATTTCTGAATAACAAGGTTAAAGCATGGAAAGGATTGAAAATACGATATGGCATAACAGGAGATAGCGGCGCCGGAGAATCAGCCTTTATTAACGCCATAAGAGGGTAATTTAAAACTTCTAGCTTAAAACTTCCTATTGTATCGTAAATAGATAGGACAATATGGTAACCTAAAAGACACCCAAAAGAAATATGCGTCATTATCCCACATATCATTCAAAAACAGGTGCCTGTCATACTCAGATTTAACACCAGAAGAAATGTCTCCAATCCAAAAAAACTTGATATCGTGTTAAACCAAAGTGTAGCAATTTACCTGCCCCCCACCAGATCACATGCTTGGCTATGGTATATATAATACTCCAGATAATTAGTAAACAAGCCAATCAAACTGCTTAGCGCCTATTTTCCCTTTTTTGCGTTTCGAAACCGTTTTGCATCGAACGTGGACACTTTAGTCGATCATTTTCAAGAGATAGAGTGAAGGAGATGAGACGGAAGTTGCAGTTTTGAATTGATATGGGTGAAATGCGACTAACACTTTTGCATCATGTTTATTGTAGAACAAGGAGGACAAAAGAAGGGCTAATAGAAAGAGATAAAGTATAAACGAAAATTTAAAATCAATGTATTAAATGTATGTTGAACTCTTTCTTGTTGTGTAGACTCCGTGATGACGATTACGATAATGGTGCAGCTTATGTTGATGTTGTTGAAGCGACGATGAAGCCAACAGAATACAAACATCCTTTGTACCCATTGATTAGTTTTGTAGATTTACCTGGCATTGGAACGCTGAGATTTCATGATTTTGAAAAATAGTGTAGAGACATGAGATTGAATGACTACGACAAATTCCTCATTTTCACTGCAACGCGTTTCACAATAAATGAATTGAAGTTAGCGAAGAAAGTGAAATGTCTTGGAAAACCATTCTTTCTCATTCGTACAAAGATCGATAACGACGGTCTTGCGGAGTCAAGGAAACGACCATTTAACAAGGAAGAAATGCTAAAAAGTATTATAATGAATTACTGTGAAAATATGAAAGATTTGATGGTCACTGAAGATAAAATCTTCCTAATAAGCAATTATGATAAGGAGAAATTGGATTTCACACGACTAGTTACAGCAATCAGCGAAGAGACACAAACTTGAGACCATGTTTATCGCATGAAGGGAGAACAATGTTTGATTGTTTAATATTTAATTATCTGTTTCGTCTTACGTACATTACCTATCACATTTCCAATGCTAAACCATTTATGTATTAGAATCAATAACTTAAGGAATTTATTAAACAACATGCATTTCTCTTGGAATATCTTGATGATTATGAATATCTGGCCAGGAATATTTTTATTCGCTCGCCAACACCATTAACGTTTGGGCGATAGAATCGTGGTTGAATTGTATCAGTTTGAATGTAGAAGCAAGTATTGACGTAGCTATGTATTATTTTGAAGTATTGTCGAAATGAATGATAGCCGGCCTCCTTAGTGCCTCAAAGTGTTGGCTTATTTCGGTGTACCATAAAGTAACTTCAATCAAAGTAATAATTTAAGCGTAGAAAATCAGCAAACCACTTCGAGTTCATTACATTTCATCATGAGACGATGAATGGCGTTGATCTTTGATTCCGGGAACTGATTAGCATAAGAATTGAATCGAGAGGTTACGGGTAATGCATTTTGAAATATCAACAAACGCAACCTTGCGTTTAGTACGAAGGTTAAAGAGAAATGAGAAACGTTACAAAAGCTGTGTTGTATGAGTCCGTAAATAAGTAGAATCACAGTCCAGAGAACTGACATCAAAAGCAAAAGATGGAAATTTTACCAACTTTGCCTGAGTTGGATCAAGTGGCTGTGGGAAGTCTGCCTTTATCAAGGCTGTGAGAGGGTAAGCAATATATTTCCTCTTCCTTAAAGATGTTATTCTTTTTATTATTTTAATATATTATCTTATATATATATATATAAATATATATATATATATATATAATATATATAATATATATATAATATATATATATATATATATATATATACATACGAATTTCTGTCCAGGAATATTGTCCCTACGCTTGCCAACACCGGCATTAACTTTTAGGCGCTAAAATCCCAGTTGAATTGTATAAGATTTAACGTAGAATTAGGTATTGACGTATGTTTTACTTTGACCAAGTGTTGCCAAAATGTAATATATGCATTAGCTTCTATTCTAAAGTGTCAAAAGTGTATAGGCTTATGCGAGCGTACAGCACAGCAACTTCTATGAAAGTAAATAACTCAGGTGTAGCAAATCTCTAGTTCATCACATTTCATCATGAGACGACGAATGAAACCTTAATTCCGGGAACTGATTTGCATGATAATTAAATTCGAAAGGTTATACAGGTAATGTTTTTGAAATATCAACAAACGAAACTTTGCGTTTAGTTCGGAATTAAAGAGAAATTAGTAATGTTACGAAAGCTACGTGTTGTACGAGACTATAAAATTAATTTTTGATTAGGCAAGGTAAATTACAGTCGTGAAAACTGATATAAGAAGCAAATAACGTGAATTTATTTCGCTTTGCTTCAGTCGGATTAAGTGGCTTCGGCGGGAAGTCTGCGTTTTTCGACGCCGCGAGAGGGTAAGCAATATATTATTTCCTCTTACTTACAGAGGAGCTGATAACATTATAACGAATATAAAACCTGCGTAAGAAGGGTTCTTGCAAACCTGCTAACTTTGTCAGATTAGGAGATTTGTGCACAATTTGCCAGGCGGAAAACGAGGGTTTAAGACAATAAGACAATGAAAGGAATAAAACGAACGTCACACGAAACCCACAAAGTCTCCATCATACAGCAGCGTTACAGCATTTGAAATCTGCAGTATATAAACTCTACTCTATTTTACCAAGTCTGACATTAGCTCAGGCAATTCTTTCCAGAGAAAATGATTAGTTAATCATATACTATAGCGTTTATAATATCGCCAATTAAGGCGCTTTTCAACACTAATGCTTTCGAGTTTAAAGCGACAGCATTCCAGTTTTATTCCTTTTAGTGATTTGCACCAATACATAATCAGCGATGGGCAAAACTCAGTCAAAACAGTCAGAACCCGAGTCAAAGAGTGTGATTAAGAAACAGACAGATGAACTAAAGATTGGTGTCTTTGGAGGATGTGGCGTTGGAAAGTCAAGTTTTATCAATGCATTCAGGGGGTATAAAATATGCTTGGAATGAAGTTATCTTTGATACATATGGAAACTATAGTTACTCAAATGAATAATATAGTACAACAATATTAATCTGATACCTACATAATGCTCTGAATTTGAAGTGCCACAAGCGCAGTCAAATATCATTCATTCAAAAGAAAATTAGCTAATTATATAATTGTGACATATAGGAATTCAAACATTCGGCAAATTAATGCAAGTCTTGAACATCTCATAAAGTTTTGAATCACAAACACATTGCGGTTGAACAATAATACGGATAAACCGCGATAATTCTTTCAATTCCAAACAACAGGAAGTTTATATAGCGACAACAAGATTCAAAGACAAAGATTCTCATGCAGAGACAAAAATGTCAAAAGCGAATGTAAATGGCATTGACTGATATAATTATATCGTTGAAATTTTGGACGGCAAACACATCAAACACACCACGTATAATATAATTTTTGATTATATATCTATGTAAAAGGTTCGTTGACACTGGCCTTCAACTTCGAGAGCTTTGCAGTAATAAATAGATTTAACTGCATGTACCTGCAAACTATCGTGACCATACAATATGCAAATTTCATGGTTTAGGCGTTTGTGCAATGGCATGCATAGCATCATTTTTGACGACATATGATTGATATGAATTACGACGAATTATGACGAGTTATGCCTTATGAAAACCAGCCTTTGCAAAGTAGGACTGAAAAACCCGACTAGGTTTACTCGCTCCTCAATACAGTGTTATCGTAACCTTCTTCCAAATTCCAATGTATTTTGAAAAAAATAACTCGAGAGAACGTTAAATACATTCTGTTTAAATGAAAGTTTGAAACAATGAAGTTATAACGCAGTTATGTGGCAAAGTTACGACTGAAAACAAAGTTGTAGAGCGGTGAACAATTGTTTCGGAATCAATTTGTTTCGGAATCAATCGCAAGAAACCCCACATCATTCTGCACTACGACGAAGAGCAGTTCCTGTGGACTTTGTTATAAGTCTTGTTTGAAAACTTACATGCTCTTTCAAAATTATTTTGATAAATATGTTGAGACGTACATGATTTTCCATGTCGTTTAACCGACATAAACAGGCACGCATTGACGCACACGACTACAAACAGAATCGCATACGTGTGAAACGCTTTTAACGATTGATAACTTATTCTAAGGGACTACTAATCACACGTGATTTAGAAATCAGTATCATTAGTTTTTTTCTGGGATTTTTTGAGGGTCATATTTTGAACCTTATTTTTAGGGAAAAATTAAATCAGTCTGTAATAATAAAGGAATAATTATTATAAAATTAAAACATTGTAGACTAATAATAGCATGCAATGATGTAACTTATTTCGTCCAATATCTTCTGTATTTAAATCTGAAACGCTCTCCTATTTCAGGATAAATGAGGATGACGTTGACGCCGCAATGACGGGCGTTCTCGAGACAACAACTGAACCTACTTGTTATACACATCCTGGGAATCCATATATTAAGTTGATAGATACGCCGGGATACGAAACACCACTTATTCCAAACCTGGAGATTTTCTGTCATAGAGTTGACTTAGAATCATGCGACATGTTTTTAATACTAATCTCTACGAGGTTCACATATTTCGATTTACATCTGTTTCGAAAAATCAAGGCACTGGATAAACCACTCTTGTTAATAAGGACTAAAATTGACATCGATATACAGCATGAAAGGCGCAAAAGAAGATTGAACAAGGACGATGTTTTAAGCAGAATTAGAGAATACATATTGTCAATTATGAAACAATTTGAAATAGGTGAAAACAACCTCTTTCTCATCAGTAACTGTGATCCATATAAATGGGATTTTCCACGCCTGTTCGATGCCATCTTTAAAATGTTGCCGGCTTATCAAAAGGAGGCCTTGTCACCCTTATCGTTTAAGAGATCATGCCAAGGTATAATGATGAAAAAATGATGAGTTTTAAAATGATTGCATGCAACTATAGTTATTGTATACTAGAAATGCATGCATGCAGCAACCCCTCGCCATTTCAAACGAACCAAAATATTTTCTTAGCAATCCAGACCCAACCTTCTAAACTTAGCTATATTATGAAATTAATGATCAAAATGTAAGGCCAATAACCGGGCTCATGTGAACAGCTCCTTAGACTACAAGATAAGTTGTATGCAATTATCATTCTGACAACGCAAAAGAGGGCCTATGCCACAATCTTCATTTGTATTGTTCAGGATGGAATATAAAGTGTCACGTTTGTACGTATGTTCACACTTTCACGTACGCCAGGGTAAGAATCGTGTACGATAAATCGCAGAGTGTAAATGGGCCTTTATGATCGAAGTTATATATAAATGAAGTTATAGACTTTCAAAGTTTAAGTGAGAGTTAATACTTCGCAAAAGCTAAACCTTCAAAACATCAAAACAGCACAAATAATACAGGGTGTATCAAAAAAAATGTCCCAAATGTAAAATTTCCGTTTTTCAAGATATTTTGCACAATTCGGCAAATTTTTGTGTTCCTAGAGATAGATAAGACTTATCTGGTATACCTAGGCCAAGTTTGGTTTTTCATTAACAAAATTATGTTACCGGGGGGGTGGTTCCTTTCCACTGATATTGAGAGGGCTTGCGCGCGAAAATGTGAAGCTGAAATTGAGATATTATTTAGCTGTCTAAAAGTAGGAAAGCTTTTTAATAACCTGTCAAAGTTTCACGAAAAATAATGCAAACTGGGAGCAACGTGCGACACCTAAAAGTGACAAATATTTCATTGCGCGCAGTGGATTAAATGCATCGTTGATTTTAGCGTGACCGACCTCATGCAAGGCTGGCCAAATGAATAAATTAAAGCGAGAAACTGAACAAGAAGACGAAGCGATTTAATAATAATGTTAATCCTCAAGACCTCAACATTTCCACCATTTCTTTCTAAGCAAATTGCAGCTCGTCTGAGCATGGTAAACACTGAACGGCGAACCAAATTTGTCTGTCCTGCCTCAAATTATCCATTTCGTTCGAAATTCTTTATTGAAAATCGCCTACGCTACCACCGGCAAATCTAGGCGAATGGACAGACGAATGGTTCGCTGTTCAGTGTTTAGTATGCTGAGACAAGCAGCAGTTTGCTTAGAATGAAATGGTGGACATGCTGAGGATTAACATCACGAATAAATCGCTTTGTTTTTGTGTTCAGTTTCTCGCTTTAATTTATTCATTTGCCCAGCCTTACATGAGATCGGTCACGCTAAAATCAACGATGCATTTAATCCACTGCGCGCAATGAAATATTTGTCACCTCTAGCGGTCGCGCGTTGCTCCCAGTATGCATTTTTTTCCCTGAAACTTTGACAGTTTATTAAAAAGCTTTCCTACTTTTAGACAGCTAAATAATGTCTTAATTTCAGCTTCACATTTTCGCGCGCAAGCCCTCTCAATATCAGTAGAAAGGAACGACCCCCCCGGTAACATAATTTTGTTAATGAAAAACCAAACTTGGCCTAGGTATACCAGATAAGTCTTATCTATCTCTAGGAACACAAAAATTTGCCAAATTCTGCAAAATATCCTGAAAAATGGAAATTTTACATTTGGGACATTTTTTTTGATACACCCTGTATAATAACCATGCAAGCATAATTTTTCGATTGTTTAATTTATGCAATATTTGCAGCGACTGTAAACTATAAAGTGATATTTGTTTTATCAAAAACTACGAGTTACACTTTCAATAGTTATATATTCTTTAAACTGCGCTTTAATCAAACCTCACTTTCGCTCTCCACCGTTTAGCTAGTGTACTGTGAATAGCTGAAAATCTGAAATAGCTTAAGTAACTTAGTTCCGCGGGCTTGGAACCTGGCCGTTAAAAGCAAAAATTTAAACTACAAACCAAATTCCTGGTGTAAGGCTATAGTTCTGTTTTGAGCATACTTATACACCAAAAAGTTTTTTAGAAAGAACACCAAAATGTTTTTTAGAAAAAACAGCATGGTCGACAGAGGAAAATCTTCATGACGAGGGAAGAAATGGTAAAGAAAAAGGGGATTCAAGCAGCGAAGAATTTCTGAAAAACAAGCTTAAAGCATGGAAAGGATTGAAAATACGATATGGCATAACAGGAGATAGTGGCGCCGGAAAATCAGCCTTTATCAACGCCATAAGAGGGTAACTTCTTATTGCTTTTAGCCTATTCAACTTACTGTTAACTATACTCTACTTAGTGTTCACACAATTATTATCCAACGCTGTATATAAATCCTACTTGTGAAAAGATCGACCTATTTTTAATGGACGTATGGACGGAAGAAGGTGGGAGGATTTAAGAGTAAGAAGAAGAGGAAAGTGACTGTTCAATTCTAGTGTGTAGCTAAATACCGATATTGAAAGCTACATGCAGACAAAATTACGAAGCCAGTTTCTATCGTCAGAACCTGTACGTCAAACATATCGTATAAACACACTGCCTAAACCATTGATAAACGAGCATGCATTTTTATACGACTTTGTGTGTCGTAAAGACAATATGTTAAGTTAAATGACACCTAAATGAAATATGCATAATTAGCCTACATATCATTTCAAACCATGCAACTGCCTGCCATACGTAGATTTAAGAGCAGAAAAAATCGTCTTAATTGTCTTGTATCATCCCGTGAGTATTATTACAAGACTTAATCAAAACAAGCTTGGTATCGTGAGTAGCGAGACGAACATTTCCGTTTTGCATTTAATTTACATGCGAATAGAAAATGTAGCCAGATCACATGTTTAGCTTTGGTATATATAATACTCCAGATAACTAGTAAGCCAGCCAATCAAACTGCCTAGAGACTTTTTTTACGTTTGGAAACTGTTCTGCATCGAACGTGAACACTTTACTCGATCATTTTCAAGAGATTGACTGAAGGAGATGAGACGGAAGTTGAAGTTATGAAATGATATGGGTGAAATGCGAAACACTTTGCATCATGTTTATTCTAGAACAAGGAGGACAAAAGAAAGGCTAATAGAAAGTGATAAAGTATAAACAAAATTTTAAATCAAGGTTTTAAGTTTATGTTGAACTCTTTCTTGTTGTGTAGACTCCATGATGACGATTATGAAAATGGTGCAGCTCATGTTGATGTTACTGAAGCAACCATGGAGCCAACGGAATACAAACATCCTTTGTACCCAACGATTAGCTTTGTGGATTTACCTGGCATTGGAACGCCGAAATTCCATAATTTTGAAAAATATTGTAAGGACATGAGATTGAAGGATTACGACAAATTCCTCATTTTCACTGCAACGCGTTTCACAGTAAATGATTTGAATTTAGCAAAGAAAGTAAAATCTCTTGGAAAACCATTTTTTCTCATTCGTACAAAGATCGATAACGACTGTTTTTCAGAATCAAGGAAAGAGTCATTTAACGAAGAAGAAATGTTAAAAAATATTAGAAAGAGTTACTGTGAAAAGACGAAAGATTTAATGGTCACTGAAAATAAAATCTTCCTAATAAGTAATTATGATAAGGAGAAATGGGATTTCACACGACTAGTTACAGCAATCAGCGAAGAGACACAAAGTTGATACTATGTTTATCGCATGAAGGGAGAACAATGTTTGATTGTTTAATATTTAATTATCTGTTTGGTCTTACGCACATTACCTATCACATTTCCAATGCTAAACCATTTATATATTAGAATCAATAACTTAAGGAATTTATTATACAACATGCAATTTTCAAGTATTTTGAATAGCTCTAAAAACGTCTGATTTGTGTCATCGTACATGAGGGAAAATTTGCAGAGAATGGGCAGTTTGAGTTGAAAATTGGAGGCTTTCAATCCAAAATGGAAGTTTAAAAAAGACGATTTAGGGAGATTTCGCAAGCAAACGTAGTTTTTTTCTCAGAGTGGCATTTCATATATGTTGATTTCACATATTTTTCTGCGGGTCCTTTGGTCCCGAATCATTCAAGATCCAAGGTTACTGTCCTCAGGTCATATCGTACCTCAAAGTTACATGAAACCGGAAAATAATTTTGCAATTTGGTCGTACCATACCATACAGCAACTTCTATCAAAGTAATAATTTAAGCATAGAAAATCAGCAAAACACATCGAGTTCATCACATTTCATCAGGAGACGATGAATGGCGTTGATATTTGTTTGATTCTGGGAACTGATTAGCATAAGAATTGAATCGAGAGGTTACGGGTAATGCATTTTGAAATATCAACAAACGCAACCTTGCGTTTAGTACGAAGATTAAAGAGAAATGAGAAACGTTACAAAAGCTGTGTTGTATGAGTCCGTAAATAAGTAGAATGCCCAAATCAAAGTCCAGAAAGCTGACATCAAAAGCAAAAGATGGGAATTTTACCTACTTTGCCTGAGTTAGATCAAGTGGCTGTGGGAAGTCTGCCTTTGTCAAGGCTGTGAGAGGGTAAGCAATATATTTCCTCTTCTTTACAGAAACCCTGATAATATTACAACGAATATAAATTACTCTGAGAAAGGAGGGTCTTGCAAACCCACTATCTTTGTCAGATCAGACGATTTGTCCACATTTTGCGATGGAGGAACGAGGGTTTCCATAAATCACATTGAGACACTCAGACAGCAATACTTATCGGTGAAAATTTGTATTTTACACAAACAAACAACAACATCATTCTTCTGAATTGCTCGTTCAAAAACCAGAACCAAGGATTACTTCAGGGTACAACAAAGGTTTCAAGGGCTACTTCGATAGGGGTTGGAATAAAACGTGATACGAAACCCACAAAGCTTCCAGCAGCGTTACGGCATTCCGAACAAAGGCTCTACTCTATTTTACCCTAGTGTGATATTAGCTCGGACAACTTTTCCCCGAGGATTCCAAATGATTGGTTAGTTGTATACTAGAGCTAATACCATCGATCGAAACTTTCCTACAAGCCGAATTATAGAATGAGTCAAATTACCCATATCATCGGCCCTCGTGTAGAACCACAGTTAATAGAACTGAAAGCCACCTATAAAAAATAGGTACATCGGCGTACATATTTGTTATACAGTGATATCAGTCTGTAATTGTATGGCTGACGTGGAAACAGAGAGTTGTCTTAGAGAGTTGTTTTTCAGGTGCATCATTGAATATGGTCTTCACTAATTTAACTAGTTAGGATTGTAAACAATCTCAAGAGCTAAGTATTAAATTTCAAAGATTTATGTGCTTTAGAATAACAGAAATATGTGCATTCGTTAATTGTTTGTTTTTTATACAAATGGCTTTTAGATAGATCCGGTTTCGATTGAATGGAAGTGCTATATAAGATTTTCTTACATTTTTTATTTTTGTAGTATTGATGACGAAGATGACTTTTCAGCCACAGTTGATGTTGTGGAATCAGAATTGGTAAAATTTTACCATTTTGTGAATTTTATTGCACACAGAGTAACACAACTTGACCTTGGAGCTGCATTATTCGAGAAAGCATAAAAGCCGCTGACGAATATTTTTTCTTATCCGTACTAAATTTTACATTGAATCAATGCGGATAAAGAGAAAAAGGATTTTAAAGAAGAAGAGTTTTGTCAAAGATTCAGAATTATGTCCTGGGACAAAAGGCAATCTCGGTATCAGTAAGTACGAACCATACGGATAGGATTTTTTCCTCTTCCTATTAGAGGTACAGTAGGAGGCAAAACTTTGATTCCAGTGACTGTATTTCATTATTTTAGCTGCAGATATTAATTTTCTACAGAAAACCTTACAGATAAGTGAACTAAAAAAAAGTAAATAAGTAGACTGAAAAATACATGCTGCACAACAACTACGAGATGTTATGATACTCATTTAACGTATGTTAATGTGCAAACATGCATTTCATGTCAATGCTTAGTATCCCACTTTTTTGCTCTTGAAACGGCCTTTGTTCTAGCTGGCATAGATTTCACAGGTTTCTTAATGTCGCACGTTCAATACCTTGCCAGCATTCGTCGACCACTTGCCTCAAGTCATCCTAGCTGGTTGGTCTGTGCCTCACCCTTTTCCGGTTAAAACGGTCTTACAAGTGTCCCATAAGTTTTAGATCTGGAATTTGAGGTGGTAAGCTATGAGAACGAAATCGATCACCAGAACGAGTTTGCTTCTAAAAGATTTCTAGCACATAGAAGATGTGCATGTGCTCAGGGTGATTATCATGGATAGTTGTACGCGCGATCATCTTTGTACCAGATGAAATTCCATGTCCTTGAAGAATTGGATGATACTTTTCTTTAATTAGGCTCCTATTATATCTTTTAATATTGCCAAAGCCAGCATGACCGAAGCAGCTAAAAGTTTGCTTGAGTGGGATTTAGTTTCTTCGAACCTCTTCAAGTTTAGTCGCATACCATCTTTAGAAATTCTTACTTTTTTTGCGATCTTATGAGAAAAGAATCCTTCAATATTTAATGCAATTTTTTGTCCTTGTGCACCATTACTTTGCCCTTTTTCCCACCCATCTTGGGCAATGTAATGGAACGAGAACTTTATTTTGTTATAATTTAGATCATTAGGACCAAAACAGTGTGCAATTAATATGGTTTGCAGTACTGAAACACTCGCACGCATGTCTTAACTGGAACACGCTGCCAGGATTTAATACTGGAATTCTACAACGACTGGACTCAAACTTTTGCCCCCTACTGTATGTTTCTCCGCCTCATTATGAGTGTTGTCCCAAATAGCTATGGCTGTCAGCGCTGCATTTACAAGCAAAGGAAGCATACCATCTACGTCACAGTCTGTTTGACGTGGCGTCTACAATTCATCCTTGAAATAGGCTAACGAGAATTTTGCTATTTTGCTGCTTTCTTGCAAATGTTTTAAATGCGCTAAAAACTCCAATGTTTAGTTGATATTGCCATCCCCAAGATACGTTACAAATAAGCACTCGCCTTACAGCTGCTTTCATATCGTCGATGAAAAAATGCCTCATTTAGAGGCGTTGTACGACGTTGCGGTAGGACCATTAACAGTAATGGGGGTAAGCATGATGAATATTTCTCATTTATTGACCCAGACTGAAGGGGATTCGGCGAAATATTTAGTCGAAATGTTTAGACCAAATATTTTCGTCAAGAATACAGTTTATTTCCCCCTCAAAATTGCTCGTTTCTTGATTTTAAGAAAACAGCAACATTGTTCCCTCCATTTTATCCCTCGTGTAGTCGGGTGCGATGTTCACGATTCATATTCACCATATAAGTGGTATTAAATAAAATAAAATATAAAAAAAATTTTGTAGCAAATACGAATGTCCTAAGCGAGATACCGTCAGGAATTTTACTAATTACGTGGCAGATATCTAGCTTCCTCATTCGGCAATTTGAATATGAGGTATAACATGACACAAAATTGAGCAATAAATGACGTGAAACAATGGTAGAATATAAAACTTTTTGAATACCACATATCAACTGGCCCCATATCCAATTTCGTCTTTATCCATTTTCATTCCTCGTTCACCAATCCATCGACTCTAGAGGCAATTTAACAAGTATAATCTACTTACGAGCTTGACATTTATACATCATACAGTAATGTCAATATATAGATTGCATTCGAATCTGACAATATATCAAACAAACCTTTCCCTTTTTGCCCAAATACATTAAGAGAAGTCGAAATTGCTTCAGTAACATTGAAGGTTGGTGCAATTTCTGAAAGGGACAAATATACTGTACAGGTAATTTTATAGCCTATAGGCATACCAGTTTTATTATGCTGCAGCCTTCGAGCGGCTATTTTCATCACACTTTACCTTTTTTGCCCATTTACGAGCGATCATCGTAAACTTCAACTTTCGTTGTTCTTTCGTAGCATCAGAAAGAAAGTCTGCCCAACTGAAATAATTTAAAATATCGTATGAAACACGCTTCTCTTTTAAATCAGCCGCCATATTTGTTTACATTTCTAATGAGCGTATTAAACCGCTGGTTTGTGATTGCGGACGCTAAACGTCACACCTCTTGTCCTGTTCAGTTATTTCTTTTCTCATAAATAAAATCGTAAAATGCAACGTTATTAAAATAGACAGATTAGTATCCAAGAGCAACTTTTATTCATTGAGATTCGCATCAAAATGATTTTAATATGTTATTTTTTAGACATCACAACAGATTTAACGGAGCAATGTCTGGGCAAGACCATATGGGAAGAGGTGTTGCAAATGTAGCACGAGAGAGCGGTGCTGAAAAATCTGCATTTATCAACGCGATAAGCGAGGTAACAAATTTTTATATTATTTCTATCATTTAAGACGGGAGTAAAAGCATTAGTGTAACGATGTTATTAAGTACACACGAGCGTCATTTTAAAGCGTTTTCAGATTCGTTTTGTCTCGTTGATTGTTTTAACGCACTTTTTACATAACCTGCATAAGGAGGTAAAATGCTCAATATATTAAATTACCTCTAACACCTCTAACATGTAATCAAAGTTAATCAAGATCTGAAGTTGACCTTTGAATGGTGTTGCACCAACTAACTACTAATAAATCCTACTAAGACAAAGGTAATGGTATTTGGAGTACCCCAACTTCTTTCCAAGTTACCTCAGGATATAACTTTTACTCTAATGGACAAACAACTTACAATTTCATCAAATGCGAAAGACCTTGGTGTCACATTAGACCCATACCTGAACTATAACGATCATGTAGCTGATGTAGTGTCCTCTTGTATGAGAGCATTG